CCTGCCGGTGTCGCCTCGTCCTTCCCGTGCCCCGGACCCCCTTCCCCGGAACCGAGCGATCCGAACCCCTGAGAGCGCCGGCTCGCTGCCGGCGAGGGCGAGCGGAGACACCGGCATTGCTTCTCCGCGCTTTTACACGGGCTCGGTGCGTCTTTGTGTGCCCTGCGGGCTTGTTCGGGGGCTGTGCGCCCGTGTGTGCCCTGTCCGTGTGTCCGTCTGCCCTGTCTGTCCGTCCGTGTGCCCTGCTTGTCCGTCCGTGTGCCCTGTCTATGCGTCCGTCTGCCCTGTCTGTCCGCCCGTGTGCCCTGCCTGTCCGTCCGTGCTCTGTCTGTGTGTCCGTGCTCTGTCTATGTGTCCGTGCGTCCTGTCTCTGTGCCCTGTCTGTCCGTCCGTCTGCCCTGTCCGTCCGTCCGTGCCCCGTGTGTCTGTCCATGTGCCGTGTCAGTCTCTCCGGGCGGTGTGTGTCTGTGTGTGCCCTGTCTGTCCATGTGCCCTGTCTGTCTGTCCGGGCGGTGTGTGTCTGTGTGCGCCCTGTCTGTCCATGTGCCCTGTCTGTCTGTCCGGGCGGTGTGTGTCTGTACGTGCCCCATTTGCCCACTCGTGCCCTGGGGATGCACACGTGCTGTCTGTGCCGATGGTCGCTATGGGGCTGTACCTGCCCTGTCAGTCTGTCCGTGCCCCGTGAGCTCTGTCCGTCTGTCTGTAGGTGCCGTGTTGGGCTGTGCCTGCCCTGTGTGCCCACACCTCTGTACGAGCTCTGTGGGTCCACAGGTGCCCCACGGGTGTAGGTCCTGTGTGGTCCCACATGTGCCCCATGGGTGTAGGTCCTGTGTGGTCCCACAGGTGCCCCACGGGTGTAGGTCCTGTGTGATCCCACAGGTGCCCCACGGGTGTAGGTCCTGTGTGGTCCCACATGTGCCCCATAGGTGTAAGTCCTGTGTGATCACACGTGTGTCCCTACGTGCAGACTTGTGGGCTCGCACACACAAACCCGGTCTCAGCGTGTCTGGTGGGTCCCCAGACCCCCTGCCTGTGCCCAGAGAGAGAAAATTGCTGTTCTCCCTCTCCCCCGCTCCAGGGCAGGCTGCGTTTGCTGTCAGTCAGGTTTATTTCCTCTCACCTGGGGCAGAGCCTGGCGGGGAGGCGGTGGTAGTCCTGGCTTTGATGGCACAGGACGTGCCTGGCGAGTGGGGAAGGTGAGTTTGGCTAGGGAGATTCCCCCCTGGCGATCCTACTGCGGTGAGTACCAGAAAGGGAGAGGAAAACCTGGCCCTGGTGTGGCGGCTGGCTCCGGTGGGCTGTCTCCACACAGCCACAGGAATCCTCACCCCGAGGTGTGGGGCTGGTACGGGGAGAGGGTCCCCAGGCTCCGGTGTGCATCCAGCACTCGGCCTTTTGTGGGTGTGGGAGGTGTTGGGGTGCCCCTGCCTGCCCGGGCTGTGTGCTCGGGGCAGCCCAGGGAGGGGGTGTGCAGTGTCCAGGGTTTCTCCTGTCCGAGCAGCTGGCTTGGGAGTGGACACACAGAGCGTGGCTGCTGCCGAGGGGGTCTGGGTGCCTGCACTCCGCTCTCTGTTGCTCGCTCCTCACAGTTAATTAGACACGACTAATCCTATCTGGCGCTGGGAACTTTCCCAGCAAACCGGAGTGCTTTTCCCTCCCCTGGTCTGAGCAGGATCCCAGCCTCCTGCAGCACGAGGCCTGGGGACAGTGACATCTTTTTCAAGCCCTGGACAGGGTGAGGGGTGGCAGCTCAGCCTTGCAGTGCGCTGGCCTCGTTGTGGCTGGACAGGTGTCCGTCAGCTGGAAGGTGACGAGCCCCGTGGGGGTTTGTGGGTGAAGGACAGCGGGGAAAGGGAGGTCAGGACTGTAAGGAGGACACTGCAGGAACAAGAGCTAGAGCTGAACTTTGAATATTTTGAGGATAAGTCTCACACCCAGCAGGTGAGCATCAGCATTCCCCATCCCTACAAAAGTGGAGGGGGCAAAGGCACACGATAATTCCTATTCCACTGATGCCCTTGTGCTTGGGAGAGCCATCGGTGTGTGCCCTGCCCTGGCCTTGGAGCCAAAGCAGAGAGCAGTTCGGGATATGAATCAGAGGTGGGTTTATCAGTGCAGGGTTAATGGTCGGTGATCTTGGAGGGCTTTTCCAGCCTCAGCGAGTCTACGACTGTGATTCATCGCAGTCCTGTCCCTCCTGCGGCTGAGCGCAGCCTGTTAGTAAGGACTGAAAAAACCTGAAATCCCAATCAAAGAAGCCGCGTTTGGAAAGAAAGACATTGATCTGGGAACATCTCGACCAACCTCGCGCTCTCCAGGCTGGCTCCTCCACGCACAGCGCAGTGTTTTCCTATTCTCCGTGCCTAGAACAGAATGGTGAAGACGTGTCTCCAGGAGCCGGATTAGCTCCTCGCCCTGCTCCTGCCCCCGGTGCTGGGCTGCGAGACAAAATCTCCAGAACTGGCGTTCTGGGATGAAATTACCTCTCAGCTTTGCAGGTCGTGTGAGCCAGCTCGCTTGCAGCTGGAGCTGCTTTAGTGGGCGCTGCTCGCTTGCCCTTGCTCAGGTGTCTCAAAGGGTCGGTTCTGAGCTGTCCCCCAATAAACAGGGGGTAGGGGCACCGCAAAATGAGGTTTGTTTCCCTCTTTGGAAAGCCTCACATGCAGGCCAGGCAAACGTCTTTCAGGGTGCTGGTTCTGATTTGGATATCTGAGCTTGGGAGGTCTAAATTTAAGCGAGATGGATCTCACCCGGTGCTTTCAAACCTTGCTTCTCAGACTTTTCGCCTTGATCTTTCCCTTTTTTTAGCGTGACCCTGCTGTTCTCCTACCACTCGGGACTCTTCCGAAGCACAGAAAATGCCTCTGAAACTTTCCACCCGCCCCCAGGTGGGAGGTGTTGCAGAATGCAGGGAAGCGTTTTCAGCTCATCCTCCTTGCAGACACAGAAGCCCGGGTTAAAAAAGCAGCCTGTTAATTTTGTGTTAATGGCTCTGAGCAACGGCGAGTCCCCCCCGCCTCCTTCCTCCCTACCTTGTGCCAACATTTAATTGCTCTCGCTCTGGAGAGATGCTATCTCGTTTCAAGGTTGAACTTATCTAGTTCTGACTTGCAGCGGGGGGATGTTGTCGTGTCCTTGTCACGGAGGTGACTCGTCGCTCCCCGCTCCTTGCCGGGTCACCTCTGCACCTGCTCCTGCTGCTGTGGTTTGTGTGCCACCTGGGGATGTGGCTGATGAGCCCATCTGGGTGCAGACACTGGGGCGAGCTCGCCTTTTTGACTCCTCAGAGATGTGTTCCCACTGCATCCTCAGGGACCACCCGCTCCGGCTTTGTGACGGTGCTTTACACCGGAGATGCTCCGTGCTTGTCCCAAACCCTTTCCCGGCTCTGGCAGAGGTCTCTGTCCCGGCCTCGAATTACCCTGCAGCACAAAACCGAGGTCTGTGGGCCTGTGGCCTCGCCGGGGTGATTTGGGGCCACCGACCATCCGTGAGTTACTGCGGTTTTCTGTGTTAGAGATTTTATAATCCCCAGGAAGGAGTCAGGGATGAGGCTGGGCAGCGACAAACATCCCCCAGGAAGGTGCCTGGATGGTGTTTCTGGGCTCGGCAGCGCACACCTGGTGTGTGTGGGGTTGGTTACAGCCGCTGGTTACACATTCCTCCTCGGGGTACTGCGCGCTCTGGGGAGATGTGGGCAAACACCGTGCCGAGGCAACAATAATGTCTTTAGATAGATAATAAGTCTTCTAAATAGATCTAATTCCAGGAAACTCAGCTGGCTGGTTGGGATTGTATTTTTAGTCTCCAGTTCGTGTATTTACCTGAAATTTCTGTCCTGCTGTTCTAGCTGGAGCTGACCCCGGGCTGCCTGCTGCTCCCGCCTTTTACCCAAATACTGTGACTACACAAAGTTTCCGAGTTCCGCCATTCTGAAAGTGCTTTATTTTGGCAGATGTCTAGCAATGCTGAAATTTCTGTCTCTAAGGGGCTTTAAGGAGTCATTAAGGGGTTTTAAAGCAACGAGGGGTTGGTGGGAAAAGCCCTGCTTTGGCACGCTGGGGTGCACGTGGGTTTCCCTCGTCCTCTTTGGCAACTCTTTCATCCCACCTCAGCACGGCACTTGCTTCCAGTTTTACTGATGGTGCCTAGCAGTGAATCTGGCAGATATCTAATTCTCTATTCCTAGCATGCTTAAAAAGTGCCTTACTTTTCAGTTAATTCTGTTGGCTGTACAGATTTAATGGATTCCTTTAGAGGTCCCCATCAGTCACCGACACTGGGCATTTCTTTTCCAGTGCCATTTCTCTCTCCTTTCCCGTGCCTAGAAAGATCACGTTTCCAAGCATTTCCCACATCTCATTTTTGCCAGGATGGCTTTTTCATTATTTAAATCCTGTTGCTCTTCCAGGTTTGTGACTTTTGGGCTCTTTGGTAGAAGCTTTAAGCGGGTTCCTTGCTTTCACTGACGCCAGCGACTGCTCTGGGCTTTTTAAAATTTGCCCTTTTAAAGTCATACGCCGCTGCCGTTATTTTGGGCTCGCCGTTCCTGCGAGTAGCAGAGGAACAGAAAGAAACTATAACAGCAGAAGACTTGCATAAGACATGGCAGTTCATTTTGGCCTCATCCTTGTCACGCAGACCTGCTGCCACTCCACGGACAATAAGCGCTGAAAGGTGACCTGTTCCTTGTGCCAGCAGCGACTCCTCATCCCAAAGATTTGTGTGCTCCCTGGGTCTGGTAGCGGTTTTACTCGCGAGTTGTTTGTGTTGTGGCGTTTTTTACCTGCCCCCCCGGGGTGTGTGGTCGTGATGGATGGTGGCAAGATGTCCTTGCGCACACAGAAGGGTGAAATTCGGTGCTGGTGGTGTTGAGGAAGGAAATCACTTACTCCGGGTGGCTGAATTATTTTGGCACACTGGACTCTTCTTCTGCGGCTTGATGTCCTCCTGCTGCTCTCCCAAGTGACCCCAGCTCCTCTCCAGGACCTCGCCAGGTGCTGCCCGGGCAGGGGTGGTGCCGGCTGGTGCTGCCCAGGTTTGGCTCTGGGAGCTCCCCCTGCCCGGTGCCAGGCTGAGATCAAACACTGCTCTGCTTCCAGGGCTTTCCAGGCAGGATTGCCTGTGAGGATTTACAGGAGCCGA